GGGGGAGTCTACCCATGACTGACCTCGTCCTACAATTTATTTGAAATACTGTACTACGTGTCGTATGCTGCATTCCAGACACCCAGAAACTCATTAAAACCTATCCCAACAAGGAAATGTACCACAAAAGTGTGGCTTGAGTATATCGTGCTATGAAGTGTCAATCAAAGCAGATTATTACAGTACAGTATATTTCAAAGGGAGCATTTGGATTTGGACGTTATCCTCATGTTGTGGGCACTGATTGCGTTTGTATGATCTTTGGTGTGCATATTGACGCACTTTGTCCCGTAATGTGAGCGCAGAAAGCCAAGCTGGGTCCAGGCAAGAAGGCCACCACAGAGACAGATGGCAGGCCATCCAGCCAGCTGCCATTCAGCAGCTTGAACCACGTCAAACTCAGTGACTTCACCTTCTTGGCTGTACTTGGGAAAGGCAGCTTTGGCAAGGTAAACTGGAATGCCCCCTCCCTTTCTCATGGCACACAACACATGTTAAAAGTCACCTTTTGCAAGAAAATAAGCTGTTCTTTTTTTAATGCTGAAAATAACATTTAGTTATGATTTATTTTTACGTGCAATTGAAGGTCATGCTGGCAGAGATGAAGGCCACAGAAGAGCTATATGCAATAAAGATCCTGAAAAAGGATGTGGTGATTCAGGACGATGATGTTGAATGTACCATGGTGGAGAAGAGAGTCCTTGCCCAGCAGGAGAAACCGCCTTTCCTCACGCAGCTACACTCGTGCTTCCAGACCGTGGTGGGTACAGTGCTCTGAGGTCAAGGTCGCTTCAAAGTAGGTTGCTCTGAGCGAAACAGAGGAAACGCATGACAAGTACAATGAGAGCGCAGCAGGGAGAGGGTTAAACAGGCACAGTTTGTATGCAAAACACGTAATTGCACGTTTGAGTCCTTAGGAAAAAGAGCAGGCTACACAACCTGAGAGCACAAAGTGACACATGCTGTGCACTATTAAAAATGTAACAACACCCCCCGGCCCTCCGATACACATGGGGATGGACACTCAACCCAAACACAGACCTAAACCGAAGGCCTAACATGAACATGAATAGTTCTGTGACATTTTTAATGATGAAAGCCACCGACTACTTATGCACTGACTTCATGCGGCGTACAACGATTACAATTTGTGAACATGATTCATTCTGAAACTGCAACAGAATTGCTCTGATTCATTTGCATGTTCGCCTGCTACGAGGCACAATTTTTATTGTGCCCCCCTAAACACAATAATACCAAATCCAAGTTTCCTGAACAACTTGGGGCTGAGTTCTCCTTTGCAGCACCCAGCAAAGGATGGACTGGGAATTTGCAGAAACATAGTCAGATAAGGGAAAGTACTCGCAAAAACAACATTTTTAAAATGATTACACAAGTTTATATGCAGTGCGTCACCTTTGTGAGAATATCTTTATGCTGTATTGAACAGACAATACATATTGGCAGAGTAGTTTGTCAATTTTTAATCTCACAGTGCCAATTGCCTGATTGCATGACAGCAATGTTATTCTATTCAGTTATGGCTGTTTTTATCCCAATAATTGAATCTGCAAGCAGAAAAATATTCATGGTTTTATGTGAACGACATTGACTTAAATGTTTGATGGTTGAAACCGAGAGGCACATAAACAGCATTTTTGCAGCAAAGGTTTGAGGCTAAGTTGACATGGAGCTGGGTCAACAGCAGGCAGAGATGCAGCGTGCACGTCAACAGACCTTCTTTATTCCAACAAAATCTAAAACAAACACTTGACTCCCACCCTTTATTGTCTTTTGTACAGTCAAGTACCTGCCTAACATATTTCAGTCCACACTCGAATGGCACTCAGTTGCATCTATTCAACAAAGCCAAACAATCCAAATTTAAATCAGCGCGATGTTGTGAACTCACCCTCTGCATATTTTTACATTTTGGCAAGACGATTTCTGCTTGCTCACTGAGAACATTTGCAAAATGTTAACAGAAGTGATTTTTTAAAAATATATTTAGATACTGTTATGTAACCAGTTCTTCTGTGGCCAATCCGTCACACCCATTTAGCAAAATAACACTTCCACCTGTTGGTGCAGAAAAAAAAATTAAGACAACTCACCACAGTACTTCCAATGTCTTGTAAGGGGAGTGAAAAGTCGTCATCAACTCCATACAGAGGAGTGTTAAAAGAATGCAAAACAGATTTTATGAGAAACAGAACAGGGGCATTCTGATTTTTATATGCACATTTTTTCCCCCCATCTCGTGTGCACAGGATCGTCTGTACTTTGTCATGGAGTACGTGAATGGAGGCGACCTCATGTATCACATTCAACAAGTGGGCAAGTTCAAGGAACCGCAAGCAGTGTAAGAAAAGCCGCCATTCTATACCAACACTTGCATTGCATTGATTATTTATCTCCTTCTGAGACATTTTTACAGGAACAAACCCAAGGGACTCACAGTACTGTCATGATCAACATTGTATGTTGAGTTTAACGCACTCACTCTGATGTCAAAGTACAAATATCAGCAACATGTTTAGCGAGGTTAGTTTGGAAGAAGTGTTATTTTTGGTGAACGGTTTAGTGCTTGGCACGTCTGGCTCTCAGTTGAGAGATCCCCGTTTTGAGTCTGGGCTCAGGCCCTTCTGTGTGGAGTTTTCTTTGTTCTTTCCTCGTTGCGTTGGTTTTCTCCAGGTACGCCAGCTTCCGCTCACATTCCAGAAATATACACATAGGTTCATTGACTCAAAATTGTTCATAGGTGAGAATGTGAGTGTGAATGTGTGGATGGCATTACCCTAATGAGGACAAGCACTCAAGAAAATGAACGTTTTTGTGTGTATTTGTTTTTTAATATGTTGTTGTAATTTCAGGTTCTATGCAGCAGAGATTGCTGTTGGTCTCTTCTTCCTTCACCGCAAAGGAGTCATCTACAGGTAAGCATTTCTTCAAATGTAATTAGAGTGCAGGGCTATTTTTCAGATGGATTAACTCTGGGGGAAAAAGGCATATTTGTAAAAGCAATTGTTGGAATAAAATCAGTTAGCCGTAGCAGACATTGTAAACCATGTTCTGAAGCTCCTTCAAGAATGATGATGAACGCCCTTCGGGAATAAAAAAAAAAGATATATATTATTCCTATATTATTTGTTGCTTTCTTCAGAGATCTTAAGCTGGACAACGTGATGCTCGACAGTGAGGGACACATTAAGATCGCTGACTTTGGCATGTGTAAAGAGAACATGTCAGATGGAGTGACCACTCGCACCTTCTGTGGCACTCCAGACTACATCGCCCCTGAGGTAGGGTTTGAACTTGGAAGACGTGTGTGTTTGCGTGTGTGTGTGTGCGTGCGTGCGTGTGTGTATGTGTGTGTATGGCTTGATGCAAGAGGTCACTTTTGTGTCACCCTCACGGACCAGATTAAGGCCACTGCCTCAGGACACGCGTGCATACAGACACACTGACACATGTGCCCAAGCACGCGCACACACACACACACACACACACACACACACACACACACACACACACACACACACACACACACACACTCACACACAGCATGTGCTTTCTAATGATGTAAGCACTGCAGTCAGGCAGACACCCAGTATGTCTGCTGTGAACGCAGTATGGGGTGTCTGCTTGTCCTGAGCAAACTGCTGATGCCAAAATGCTACTTTGGTCCACGCACAACCATCATCATCAAACAAGCCCAAGACACATCACTCGTTTTTGACCTTAAGTGGCGAACCTACAGTATAGCGGCCTGGGTAGAAGGTACATGAGTGGAAATTTGTGTTCTTTGTGTTCTGTGCATGCTCTTGCCGAGAGGAATCTTGGTCTTTTGAGTACAGGAAGTATTTGTATATGTGCGGAGGCCATTTACTCGCCGAGAAGTGAAGCCTCCTGCACGAGAGTTTAAATTGATTTCTCCGCAGTCGTTTTCACGTTATTTTCTGTCACTACGGAAAAAATGACAGTGTGTGTATATAGACACATAATGTGTGGAGAAAAGTCCATGTGTCTGGTGCACAACTCGCCAGAAATACACAAGCAGAGGTAAACAAAGCAAAACCGAGACGCAGCACAGAACCACGCTTTTGGGCCGAGGGGGAAACTGACTTCTTTATTCCTGTGGTGACTGACATGTATGTAATGTGTTTTGTGAGACAACCAAACAAGACCAGAAACAAACAAACAAAGGTGTGTCATTGAGAGCAGAGAGCAAGAGAGTGCTTAGTGTTGCATGCATAAATAGTGGGTGAGCCAGGACCTCGCCTGCCCGCATGAGGAACTGCTCCAGCAGGACCGGGGAGGGGCCATGACATCTCTTAACTGCGGGGGGCTAATAGCTGTATGCCTTTGGAGTCTAACAAAACTTTATCATTCCTGAGTGTCTGAAACCTCAATATTTTCAATTGTGTGTAGGTAAACATGGCTTTTCATCAAAGGAGCTTTAATATCCATAAAATCCAATATGTCCAAACGATTCCTTTTATATTTGCACAGGTTGCAGTGGACATGAGTAAAGAATTTTTGTGATTATTGCTCACCGTGTTCAGACACGAGGTGACAACAGAATGTGACAAAGCAAGCAAGGAGACTATTACAATGCCTGTATCCTTCCTTCAGTGACATAGCCAGGCTGAAATGGAAAAAAAAAGCAGGCCAAGCCCATAAAAATGGATGTCAGTAAGATATGTAGAATGTAGTCCTAAAAAAAACTGTACATTAAATCACTGCTGAGTTTTTCAAGGGTCTGAATTTTAGTGTTGACATTTTTACATACGGACCTATTATATAAGTGTGAGTGTTCAGCCCAATCAATTGTCCCTTAAAAAGACATTCCGCTCTTAATCCATCCGTCAGTTCACCCTTTGCCGCTATCACAGCTTCAGTTCTTCAGGGAAGGCTGTTGACAAGGCTGAACAGCGTGTTTACGGGAATTTTTGACCGTTCTTCCAGAAGTGCCTATGTGAGGTCACAAATTGATGTTGTACACGAAGGCCTGGCTCTCAGTCTCCGCTATTATTCATCCCAAGGATGTTATTTTTGTGCCTATAGCGGGAACCAAGAGTCTTTTGCTGTTCAATGGCTGACCAGTTGATTTCGGAGCTTACCTATTTTTATTTCTCTAATATAGAGGCCAAAGGAGCCTGCTGCAGTTAGTTCACAGACTGTACATAAGTTTATCCAACTTTGAGGCCATTATCAGTTAGTTACCTCCTGTCCACTGGGGAGTTGCGTTATAGATTTTCCTCCCTGTCAGACTCGAGATGTTGTCTACACGGAGCCAGGGACAACATGCTGTGACCGCTCACAGTCAGACTGACACTAATGCTCCATCCACTGAAGGCACAGCAGGGATGGGAGCGGCTGCTGCCTCCACCATGCTGTGAGTGAATGGACACGTGCAATACCACACATACGCCATAGTTTTATACTCACATTGTTGGAAGTGTTACATACTTCCCAACGTGTTAATCATTTTTAGAGACGAATGACCTCAAGTGTGTCACAACATATTTTCACTCGAATTGACGTAGTCGGACTTTGTGGTCACATGCAACCAACCATTTTAGTTTCTATCGGAGGCGCCACAATTTATTTCAAAGGAATTAGCTTTTTAACAGGGCTTCCTAAACTAAATTCACATCCATCTATTTATTGTGTAGAGTTATACCGCTAATCCTCTTCGATGTTGTGGGTGAGCTGGAATATTTCCGAGATGACTTTGGTTGAGAAGAGGGGTGCACCCTAAACTGGTGGTCAACCAGTTGCAGGACACGTGTGTATGCCCTAATGTGGAGTGAAAACTGCAGCATCAGAATATATCTCATCACTTTCCCCCTGTTGAGGTTGCAGCGACAAAAGCGCTTTGGTCAGCCTGCCCCGGGGGCAGCTGTGGCTAAAGATCGTAGTTTACCACCACCAGGGCGTGAATGAGTGAGCGCATGAGTAATGTATTCATTGTCAATTGTCTTTCAGTGTCCAGAAAAGTGTGATATACAATTTCTTTATTATTATTATGGTATTATTATTATTATTATTGATTGAGGTCTGACCCATATGGACATACTTTGTACAATCTGTTGTTTGATTGTAGTTTTAATCAGCATAAATATCTAACTGAACCAATTTTTCCCCAGAGTCTTCCCCAGTGTGATTACATTCATTTGTTTACTGAGAGAAGCTGGGGTACTTGGCTACAACCCAAACATTACTCATCACTTTTGTAAATATTGGCTGGCAACTGGATTCTAATCAGCCATTCTCCTGATTTAAAATCTAACACTATTGTGTGTGTGCATGTGTGCGTGCGTGCGTGTTTCTGCATGTGGATTTCTGTTGATGTTTCATTCCACCTCATTGACGTCATCAGATCATATTGAGCATAAACAGCTCTGCATCTCGACACCCCCTCTTACCTCTGTCAAGTCAATACCGCTGCAGAATGACTGCTGTTCAATTGATTTATTCCATTCTGATCGATGCATCACTGCGCCCCTGCAGATTTTCAACTTTTTACATAGCGCTAAAAGTAGAACCCGGGGCTCTGTGATATGGTTAAAATTTTACATCTTGATATTTTTGCCAGCTATCTCGATAATGATATTACTATGGATTCAGTGAAAACTAAGCATGAAAAAAACCCCCCCAAATATCAATTCAAAAGGATGTGGAATGTGTCGTGTTTTCTTTTTAGAACTTACTGACAGCCATCAATGTCAACAGAGTCAGCAAAAAAAAATAAAAATGTTTAAATTTACTTTATATTGCCACTGTGCTTAAATGATAATTTTATTCTACAACAGAAGTGTCTGTTGGGTTTGTGTATGTAGATCAACTGCTTCAATGTATGTGTCCATGCACAACCGTAGTAAGCATCAGCATGTTCAGAATTCAGAATGTGTATGGATGGGTTGTTTGGCATGGGAGGAACCCCCCCCCCCCAAAAAAAAAAAAAACATAACCTCTCAAAACCACGCATGACGATGGTTGTCTATGTATTGATGCATTAAATGGCGATGTGGTGTGTGAATTTCCAGTGATATGAACTATGCCTGGATCGCGTTTTGACAGCCAACTAAGATTCCCGTTGTGACCGAAACAAGCGCCTTGCCTGCACGGACGGACTGCTCACACCTTTTTACAGCAATTTTTGGAGGGTGCACACATCTGCTTGTTGTAAATGAATAATTCATAAGAGAAACAAAACGTACATTTTGAAGATGGTTTTCTTAAGATGTGCTTTTCCTGTAGGCGCTGCAACATTGTCGACCTTGGTGGAGGTCCGCCCTCTTCCTTTTGCCATTCTAGTGTAAAGATCCATTTGTGTACATGTGAATGAAAGTTGTGACCTGAGAAATATTCTCACACTTGACTTTTTCGTGCCAGCTGGAGAGTTGCAGTGTTTCCCTCGCTTGTCAGTGTACACGTGAGCACACACAGAGTTATCGCTCTGTTTAGCCTGACCTATATCACTAGCCTGTTATTGGTAGCGCCTTGTCTGGGAGGAATGATCGCACTAATGTACATTTACACCTCAATGACTTTGATACAAAGAGAACGCGATAGAGAGAAAGAGCGAATTCTGTCGGCAAAACAAGGAGATGTAAAAGCTATTAACTGTGAGTAAAAAAGTAGAAGAGGCACCAAGACAGTGAAGGCAGAACGAAAGGAGAAAGAGCAGTCTAATGATGACTCGTTGACATTTCATAAAAGCATTGGAGACTCCTGAGTTGTCTGCTGCGGCTCATTTCCCTCTGTGGCTTTGTTGACCCAAGCACACAGCTTCACCTTGGAGATAGATTTCAAAAAAAAAAAAGAACTGTGTGTTGTCAAGATGATGAAGTGTAAATTTAGCCTTTTCCTTTGTTCTATTTTTAACGTATTTGTTGGCCACTTCTCTACACCTGCAGAATCGAATTGGGTCCAACACTGCAGCACAATGGAAAATGGCCAGCACGTACATTATGCCTCATACTTCGAAGCTACTCTATATCCAAAAGTCTGACAGACACATTTTATACCTCTGATTAAGATTGCCAATGTACAGTATTAGAAATGGCTTGTTGCTTTTATAGTGCTAACAACACTGAGAACATTTTGATAGGTTCATGCATTGGATGTCATTATACTGTCAAAGAACCTTGAGGTTCACTTTTAACTTTTTAAAAATTGATGTTTTTACAAATAAATCACTGTGAAGATTCACTGTACTTTTCCATAAGAATGATGTGTATGTAAAACCACAGATGGGCTCGTCAGTAAGTTTTGACGCCATTATACTGTCAAAGAACCTTGAGGTTCACTTTTAGCGTCAGAAAGTTGTTGAAGTACGGGGCACTTTAACTTTTTAAAAATGGATGTTTTTAAAAAATAAATCACTGTGAAGATTCACTGTACTTTTCCTTAAGAATGATGTGTATGTAAAACCAGAGATGGGCTCGTCAGTAAGTTTTGACGGTCTGTCATTTGTCATTCGCCAGCTGGGCTACCTTTCCCTCATCGGCAATCCGCCATTATTTCCAACTGACCCAAACCGTAATCGTCACTCTGTCACTCCGTCATTGTTATTTTAACCGCACTTCCCTCATCACTAAGCTTTCGTTGTCACTGCCCAATTTAATTTTTAATACTAAAATGATACATGGAGTACAGTATCTCCATCATACAGTTCCTGCCCAAAGAGCTTTACAAAGCCTCACATTCAATTATTTGCTAACTTAATCTTAAGTACAGCACGAGGCAGTTCCAGCGCCTGCCTCTGTTTTAACTCCTAAATCATCCTAAAAGTGTTTTACCTTAAAGATTATCATGACTTAGTTTAACCAGGATCCCACTTCACATTGTGGCCCCGAGTAAAATCCAATCCAAGTCGGTTAAAATTAAATGCTCCACACTTGCGGGCATCAGCAACATCGTACAGCTGAGGAAACATTCTCTCTGGGGCAAATAGCTTTCATTTCTTTTGCTATGCGTGATGGTGAGAGAGAGAGAGAGAGAGAGAGAGAGAGAGAGAGAGAGAGAGAGCGAGGTTTCATACACTGTCGAGATAGGTTTCATCGACTGTACTACTGTGTGTATTTAAAGCTCATTAGCTGGCTAATTTACTATTCACATTCACGCACATCCACTTACGGGCACCCGCTTCCATGTTAACAGCTCGACGAACCCACTTACCACCACACGAGACATCCGCACACATTAAGGACCCCATTAAAAGGCCAGTATACACAACACAACACACCTCGCTGCATAGCGCCACCTACTGTCCAGGAACTGCAAAGTGTTTCCATATACAGTGTAGTTAGTGCAGTCCGCTCAAATAATTCACCCCTGCGGACAAACACACGAAACAGGCGGTGCGTGTTTCTGTCACTCGTCAGCGAAACGAAAGTTGGTTATTGACGAACTGAAAAGGTCCGTCGGTACTGACCTGGTCAGTGACCCGTCCTTCATCAACCTTCCTTCAGTACTGACTGAATGCCCACTTTGAGTTAAAAGCCTACAGCTGCTCATTACATCATCAGTCAAGAAAACCAGCCACATCAAAAATGGAGACATGCCGTGGATTCTAGAGCATAAGCATATGCTTGATGCAAGCTACTTCTGCTCCACAGCACACAGCATCCTCAAAAGGAACCTTAACATCAGCAAGGCGTTCACCACAATGCAGTGAATGCAAACTCGTTTTCATAAGGAGCACGGCGGTGGTCTAGGCTGCTTTGTCCGCTTGTGTGTGTGTGTCTGTGAGTGTTGTAAAGAGAGTCGCCTGGAATAGCTAGCAGTCTGATCCAAAACTGTCATGTAGTGTTAGACCTAATGGGAGAGCAATGTCTATGGCAATGCACACACGCACTTGCACTCTAACATGTGCACAGAGACAAAAACAGGTGCACTAATAACCCCAGACAGGATTTGTATTGTATAGAATATTCTCAAAAGAATTGTAAAGCAATAATTATACATGAACGTAAAAGCGGATTATACAAAGAGTCTCAAAAATGTCACCCAGTCTGTACCTGCTGTTGAATTTTTGAGGATGTTTCTCTCGCATGGTGTGAAAGCGGTGTGCGATGGAGGCGTCCTTTTGGCGCAACAAATCCGCATCAGTGAGCCACAGAGACATACACACACACACACACACACACACACACACACACACACACACACACACACACACACACACACACACACACACACACACACACACTAGTATGCTACAGTGAATCAGCAGAGCTGGCCAGAGGCTTTCATACAATAAGGCAAAGAAGAAAAAAAATGAAATGGGATAAAAGCACTGAATGTCAAGCCTGGGTCACACATGTCTCTTCCCATTGCTGATTCTTCATCTCACCACCTGGCTGACAGAACACTTACTTGACTTATTCATCATGCTCCTCCAACTCATTGAAAAACCAAAAACATTGAGGCATTGCATTAAGGTCACCAGGACAGAATTTTTTTTATAAATGTCCGCTGGTGACAACGGAAAGCTATTTCATATTGGCACTTTCAAGGGACCCTGAAATTCATCCTTACAGGCACTTTTGTTCTAACCTCTAAAAGGATGAAATAAATATGTTTGGCTTATTAGCATGTTGAAAGAAAAAATATTTATTGACATTAATAATGTAAATGATTCCAAGTTTTTTTAAATTATTTTCATATGGCACAAAACATTAACAAGTGTATTTTGGCACTTTGGTTCAGCTTCTGGGATGGGAAATCCATCCTGCAGGTGCTCACCTCGCAGTTCAAGGTCGCTTTTTTTAAATCTGGGTCTCAAGGGCAGCCACCCTGAGCTCGGCCCTAAGTTGTCATGGTGATGGAATCTGCTACTTGCTATTGGCTCAGCATTCTGCGGGGTGGAATGAGTGCTAGCTGATTTGCATGCGACTGGAATGTGTGCTCATCAGATTAAAAATAAGGTTAAAAAGTGCTACAATCAAACAATGCAAACCAGCATCATTCATATTTTTGGCAGGGGTATAATTGTAAAATGCTTTTTACCAGTAAGAGCGGTTTGATGTGTATTCGTTCTCATATTCTAACAGTGACACAATCTTGTGTGACGACAGGCAGCGTTGACTTTGTTTGTAGCTGCGAGGTCACGCAGAAGTTCAAGTACTAGTCTGGGAAACAGGATTATAACAGCCGTGCTCAGGAATTTCATCATCAGGATTTCCCTCAGCTTGCAGTCTTTGACCTGCTAGCTAATTAAAAACTTGGAGGAAAGACAAAGGACGTTTACCTCCTTTCTTCTTCCTTCTCATTGTTCACCGAAGAGAAAATCCAGGATGATGTGGAAGAAAGTTCTTTCGAGGCCAACCCAGGTCCTTGAATTAGCATACTGTGCGTGTTTCGGTTCCCGAGTCTAAAGTTATACCTTTGAATGCAGGGGATATACTAAAGCGCTACTGAATTTTCCACCAAGCAGTACAGTCCCGTTTAGCTCACCAATGTTTCATTCACAAGGTAAACGTTTAACTCGGGAAGACTGTAGATTATCTTTTTGGGCAAGCTTTGGAGCTGGAAGATCACGGTTCTCCTGCAGTATTTGCGAGTCAACGTACATAATGCAGTTTTCTGGTACCAGGAACGAGAGGCTGTGCGACCTTTGATTTGTTTGAATATTTCAGTAATAAGAAATACAGGACTGTTAAATAGAGTTATTTCTGAAAAACTAGGCCATCTCGTACCTGGATAGTGTTCGGGTTCGATTCTACGGTCTGGATGTCAGCGATCTCATCAGTGGACTTTTCCCCGCAACTGACTTCAAAACATGAAGAGAAAGTATAATCTTTCCAATGACCTTTGAATGTCAATGAATATCCTACAAGAGCAACCACTCCAGTCAACTTCTGCCTCATCTTTGCTTTCAGAAATTAAACTTGCGTCTCTTTTTTTTTTTTTTTTTGTGCGTTGCATGTGGAGGCTCTCAGTCGTACAGGAAAGTTCCATCGTAGAAAGGGTTCCACAGGTACAGATGACGACTGACGGAACCCTTTCTACGATGGTTTGTGCGTTGCACTTAATTACTTAGTTCATGAAAAAAATAACCAACTCAGCCTTCCTGAGCAGAGCGAAACAGTTCGCTGAAGCGGGTTCGTCCTGAGTAGGTGTGATAGCACGGAGTCTCTTTTGGGCAACTTTTGCACTCCATTTGAGCGTGATGATTTACAAAAACCTAATTTTCATGGTCTGCAGAGCGCAGACGTTTAGGGACGCTCTTGCACATTTGGTCAAGAGCTATGCAGGGTTATTTTCTTGTTGAAGAAACTTGCTGTCCAAGCTCAAGTGTCTTATGCAGATTTTAGTTTAGTTTCGGAGAGCCGGCAAGAGATATAATAAAACGCTGTGTGCGTGTTATTTTTCTACTCTTCTCTCGGAAATTGTGACATTCATATATTGTGGTCAGTGTGCATGCATGAATGTGCACGTGCTTGCCATTGTGTGAGGGGCGGAGGAGGTTGGGGGAGGGAGGAGCGTTGTTAACACATGGAAGTCATGCAACCCTCGGGACTGCAGAGCTGGAAGCGCATTTTTTTTCAACCTGTTTACAAGCGTGCGTACGTGTGTGTTTTGGGCGGTACACACAATTAAAGGACCGTAGTTGCATTAGCAAACGTATATTTAAACAGGCGTGTCTGTCATGCAAATATAATGAATGTATGCATGTGTGTGTCTGCGCATTACCGGAAAGAATGTCCTTTAACTATAAAGGTCAGATATTACCCAGCATTCAGGTGTATTTGATTCATTCATTGTATTTTTTAATCGAATTACATCCATTCTACCTGAAGAAAAAAAATGACATTGTTGTCATGTTTCTCTTTTTTTTTTTTTTACTCCACAGATTATTGCATATCAGCCATATGGACGCTCTGTCGACTGGTGGGCATATGGAGTGCTTCTTTATGAAATGTTAGCTGGACAGGTGAGTCTCTCTTACACACACACACACACACACACACACACACACACACACACACACACACACACACACGAATAGAATAAACAAAGCATTTCATATCCATGCGACTCAGTAAACTGCCAAACTATTAGTTTGTTTTCACAACAGATGACAAATATAGGCCTGTTAGTTTTATTTTGTAGTTCTACAAGTGTTGCTGCACCTTTTGTCTCAAATAACAGAACTTTGGCTCAAGACAGAAAATCGGCCATGCGATGATTTGCATAGCACAAAACTTGAGGCACTACACCTTCTTGTATTTTCAACAAATGCTACCAAATCTATAATTTTTTAAATTCAATGAACATAACTTTTTACCTGAGATGCCCCCATGCCTCTGAGTACGTGAGGAACTGGGTAAAGAGGTCATGACGCAGATGGGCTATCTCGAGCAAGCCTAGTGGAGTGTAAACGACAAATAATTCATTTCCTGAACTGTCGAGACATCCAGATTAGAGTTACTGATGATAAACCACCCAGCGAGGAAAGCACAATGCTGGGTTATCTGCTGCCTTTGCTCAGAAAGTTCTGCTTTGGGGAACTTCCTTGCAACAAATTTCTCTATGATTGGAAGTCCTGTATTCTCTAGCTATTCAAAACTTCAATGAATGAAATACAATGACATCCAGCACACAAACGAGCACAGATTCTGTTTGCCTACGCCTTGATCAAATTCACTAAGATCGCGTTGCACCACGTGTGCCACAACTTAGACCTGCTTTCAAATGGTATAAAGTCGGGGAATAGGCAGTGGTTCACTGTACTCCATTTTGCCTTGAATTTGGCAGACGTGCTAACCACTGTAAGAGTGGTTAGCACGTCTGCCAAACGGTTAAGGGTTCCCGTGTTCAAATCATGGCCCATATCCTCCTATACACGATTGAAAATGGATCGAAAGTTGATAAGTAGATCCGAAAATTGAAAAGTAGTTCACTCCATTTAACATCAGTTGTTTAAAGATGCAATTAATTAATAATCAATTCCATACAAATGACCTTATTCTTGACGGTACATCAATTGATAATTCAACTGTAATTTCCATTTGAACTGCAGAGTTTTAAAATTTGGTCATTTTATATTTGTATGTCAGAAAAAACCCTGATTAAAAATCTCTAATTGCTCCACTGTTGGATCCCTCTCATGCTCCGCGGCACCACTTAGCAAAATGTTTGTGGTCTCAGAACTGCAACCATGTATTCATCCCATGTTTGATAATGGATGAACCGCCAACCCTCAGCAACATCACGCTCCTTCTATTCGCAGCCTCCTTTTGATGGAGAGGACGAAGACGAATTGTTCCAGTCCATTATGGAGCACAATGTGTCCTACCCAAAGTCCTTGTCCAAAGAGGCTGTTTCCATCTGCAAAGGGGTGAGTGAAAGGTTCGATACATCACTGGCGGGTTTCAGATATGCCACTTTCTGTGGTCAAGCAAGCGGTGGATCTGCTGTATATAAAAAGTTAATGTGAGGCGATTCAAACCTCCTTTCGACATGCAGCATCAGTCACAATGCTCCAACAGTGTGCGGTTTCAAACAGCACACTCCACTCTGTTCCCCCACACCCCCACCCCTACCCCAAAAAACAAACAAACAAACAAAAAAAAACTAGTCCCAGGCGAAGCTTGTGCATATCAGCAATTTTAAGTGCAGTCGGTGGCGCTCTTCATTGAAGCCAACATAATTTAAATTCATGTATAAGGATGTCTGCTTGTTCTACAATTCTCGCATTTTTGTTCTGAAAGAAACAGATGTTCTATTTCAGTGTAAATAAGAATATATGTTCTTTAAATCTGGTTTGACCACCTCTCCCACATTTTTGACATACACACACAGGTGCATTATTAAAACACTGTAAGAACCCCCTTTTTTTTGTCCATTAAACCTGTACTGTAAAACATACTAGCTCTGTACAGTTACCATCATCGTCATCATCATTTTCCCAAATAGTAAATTATCAGTACCGTATTTTTCGGATTATACGTCGCTCCGGATTATAAATCGCACCAGCCAAAAAATGCATAATTAAGAAGGAAAAAAACATATATAAGTCACACTGGAGTATAAGTCGCATTTTTGGGGGAAATTTATTTGATAAAATCCAACACCAAGAACATACATGACATCTTGAAAGGCAATTTAAAATAAAAATAAGATAGAAAACAACACGCTGAATAAGTGTACGATATGCTAACGTTACATGACGCATAAACAACGAACTGAGAACGTGCCTGGTATGTTCAAGTAACATATTAAAAGTTATTCAGATAACTATAGCATAAAGAACATGCTAACAAGTTCACCAAACCATCAATGTCACTCCAAATCACTAAATCCAATGGAATCTTCATCCTCTGTGTCACTTTAAAGCAACTCCACCAACTCCGGAGGTAGAAGATGCAGCGTTTCCTCTTCTACGTCGCTTACGTCCGACTGATCGTGGTTTTATCAATATAGGTCTAGAGCGGACTCTTGTGGTTTAATGTGAAAATAACATGTGAAATGATATAATAATGTGTTAATAATTTCACCCATAAATCGCTCCAGAGTATAAGTCGCACCCCCAGCCAAACTATGAAAAAAAACGTGACTTATAGTCCGGAAAATACGGTAAATGATATGAAAATTGTTTTTTGTGTAATTTCTTTCTTTGTATACTACTTCTCAATTAACTTAATTCACCCTAAGTTACTTTGATGGTTTTCACCGTGGAAAATATGGGAGCGCACCACAGGCACAACATGAAATTTGGTGTGATGGATTTGAAAGTGTTGGTGGCAGACAAACACATTGCTGTACTCAATTACACAAATCTATCGCTCTGATCATTTTGACGAAGCCAGCAAACGCATAAAAGCCATTTCGTTTGTTTGATTTACTTTCTTAAAATCATGTGAATCGCTCGCCACCGTTCACAAGCATTCACCGCTCAGTGAGAGACTGGCTTGAGGCTTTTTAAAAGGCCGCAGCTCCATGTTATACTTTGTACACACAATAATGACTAATTTTAACAGGTTGCATGGAACTGACATGTTCAGTATTGATATTATGGGATCATGAATGCATTATGCATTACAAGATTTATTTAGACAATAGTGTGTGAATATGGGGCACTGGGTCTCTTGGGGGAACAGCAAGTCAGGCACATAATATGCTGGAACATAGCATCTCGGTCAGTGTCAACAACACTGTGAGTTAATGCAAATTGTGACAGGACACAAGATAAATGTTGTTTTCAGGATACTTATTTAAATTGCAGCTATGCAAACAGAAATTCATCATAGCCGAGTGTCCTGGTCCAGTTAATTCCAAAGCTGACTCTTCTGTGATTTGTATTTAGCTTAGCGGTGGTAATGTGTAATATGAATCAAGTACTTTAACTGGAAAGAGTCTTTTAATAAATGAGTCTTTTTTCAAATGATTATTTAAAACTTTTAAATTACTATTATAAATTAATAAATTGTTTTAGGTGGTATAGTTTACTTGGCACGTACCTCCCCAAGATGGCCGCCACGTATACACTTCGTTACCCGGTTACTACAGTGCTAAATTGTCCAGTATTCTATCGTATTCATGAATTGATGAACACGAAGAGGGAAAACAAGATCCGGATATGATAGTTGGTGTGATTAAAAGTGGCAGCACTACTCCAAAGGGAAAACAAAGAGACGGCACGTTTTTAAAAAAAATGATGGTTATGTCACTTATTTTCGAGCCCTTCTGTGTTGTTGCACTATGGTGACCTAGAAAGGCAATGGAATCACATTAAGGAACGCATTAGTGAAAAAATTACTCTGGAGAGAGTTACAACAAAACAAAAAACAAAACATTTATAGTAGAACTGTGATGTAAGATTACCCCATGTGATAGACTTGTTTTGACACCATATCCACTTTGTTGTTTTGTACATGAAACAGCTAATGACTAAGCATCCATCCAAGCGTCTGGGCTGTGGCTTTGAAGGAGAGCGGGATGTCAGAGAGCATGCCTTCTTCAGACGTATTGACTGGGAACGTCTTGAGAGCAAGGAGATACAGCCACCTTTCAAGCCCAAAATGGTAAGTCCTGTGCACATACACTTACTATAAATAGTAGCAAGAAGAGTATTTGCTCAGTGGAGACCATAACGTAGTACATCGATCATCTGTTACCAGTCCTAATGTCTCTGGATGTTGTGGGAGTGTCTTGATTGATACCCCTTTGCAACACTGGGTGGACATCTTGGAGAATATCTCTAAGGGTGGAGGAACATATCCAGGTTGGGGAGTAGATCCCGTTGGTTGTATCCTCAACAAGCATCTGAGATCATTGTAATATTTATTCATTCATAAAAGTGAAATTTGGCAGTAACTAAATGATATTCGAGTGTCAACTACAATGAATGCAGTGCAGTGCAACCAATATTTTAACTCTGACAGAGAGATTGGTTACAGATTTCAGCCATATACGCCAATGAAAGCACAAAAATAATTCCATGCTGTTCACATTTGCCCACACATGTACGACGACCGTGATATGAACAGAAAGACTGCTTTGAAATATATTATTGTTGTAAGGTAAAATTTAAACAACACATTTCAACACTCGATCATATTTCATTCACGTGTCCGTTATCGACTCAAGCAACACTTTCTAAACTAAGTTGTGAACAACATTAGCCTGATTTAATGTTATACTACATCACTACATTATTATAACGTTTCCTGTGTTTATGACAAATCGCCATCCATCTCTAGACTCCGAGTGCTTTCCCACCACCCGGTCGTCAGGGGGATGCAGCCATTTAGGTATAGCTCATGAATATTAAACAGAACAAGTCATTCCAGTCCATCAAGGGGCTACCTGACTAAACAGCTTCATTGTTACCGTTAGATGTATGGAACTTACCAGGCAATCGTTTACAGGCTTTATTGGCACCTCAGCATGAGGAACATTATCATTATATTGTTTACAAGAATTTTGTCATGCTTAGTCAGTGGTAACTACCAGTCCTGTGATTCTAATCAATCCGATGGCAAAAACAACAGGCAGAAAAGCAGTAACAGTGGTAAACATAGCTTAAACATGATTATCATCATCATCATCATCATCGTCGTCATGGCTACTGGCGATCATCTTCAACTGTCATCAAATTTTAACCCTGTGCAATGGTACGTGTACGCCGCAGAAGTCCTTTCAATGTGAATCAAGTCCACTTACCTCATGGTAACTTCTGGCGGATATTCTTGTTGTCCATGCATGTTCTTCTTGTCCTGCTGACCTTTCAGAAAAAGGTGTCGCAAAAAGCCAAACAGGCCAAAAGTTAACCCTGTGATGCAGAGCTGTAGGGACAGGGTATAGCATATGTGACATACAGTATGCTCCATGAATAATTCCAAATCTTCTTATGCCAATGTATAATGCACACCGTGTCAATTATTTAAGAAGGGTACAATGAGGCAAGTCTTGTCAACCTAAACATAAAAACAAATATAAGCATGGAGTACAGGTAGAATTTGTCATAGGAACGCCTGTGTGTGTGTGTGTGTGTGTGTGTGTGCGTGTGTGCGTGTGTGTGTGTGTTACACATTTGAATACAGTATTTCTTTTCTTCTTTCAACTCTCAAGGGTTCCTCTTCCTCTATTAAGGTGAATCCCGGCCTGACTATCCCTGCAGCCTCCTGCTGCTCAATGGATGCACTTTTGTGTGATGTTCGTGTTGTGTGCGCGCGTATGCGTGACTTTCAGTTTCAAAGATCGTATGTTAGAATAACGTGAGTGCTGTGGGAATAGGGGCAAGCTGGGTATGCATGTCCCGTATACATACTTTATATGTGTCTGGTGCACAAAAAGTGCACGTTTTCAAAAATGGAAAAAGAATAGAAGCTTATTGCTCTTGTGCTTGTCCACTTTTGTTCTGGTCCAATTCTACATTGAAGGGAAGCCAATGCATGTGTGTTGGCACTGTCATAGCGCAATGAATGTTTGCACGGCAGTACTGTAGATGTGGAAAAAAAATAAGAAATGGTCGTGCCAGGATGAATGTCATCATCTGTTATGTAATGGTCGATCACGTCCATCTCAGCTCTGGAATACGGCACTGTGGAGTCCATTACCAGCAAATAGCTATTGTTATACTCCCTTCACACTCGACTACATCCAACCGTTCCTCTCCAACCCATTCTGTCTCCCTCTTTTATGCACACCCATCTTTGCTCAATCCCATTTCATCCGCCTGCGACAGCTGCACAATTGCAATCAATACCCTCACTGCATCCTGCTGAGAGATTCAAACGCGGATAAAAACTCTGTGTCAGAATGAGCATCAAGGCATTCTCATTAAGTGTTCATCCATCACGGGATGTCGTTACCCGGGCAACAGCAACAACATCCATTGAGCGGTGTGAGCCAGAAACGCCCACTTATGGATAGCCGACATGCTTCATGGCTTTAAGGAGGAAACTAGGTCAAGTGTAGAAGCTGTTGATTGATAGTTGTAATGAATAGAGGATGAGAAAGGAAGAGTGGGAGGGTTTGTGTCATTGCACAAACAATCTGGAACAGTGGCCACGGATGACATAGCTAATGGGGTTTGTGGCCACTCGCATGAATTACGATACATTCAGTTGTGACTCACTGCAGCTGTGTAAGACAATGAAGGTACACACTCGAGCAAGATGACATTGACACATTGCCTATTTTGGCCAGCACTGAATGGACTAAATCGGATTTATTTACATTTTGACATGACGGCATCTATGTTGGCATCAACCCTGCACCTAAAGAAATCATGCTCATGCAGGAAAGCCGTGCTTTTCCAGTGCTATTCAGCACAAGATGACACTGAACTTGGGATGTCCTGATGCGATCACGTGATCAGAAATAAGAGTCCATCACGTAATTTTCAGCTGATCCGCTATCAAGTGAAAATAAAGTCCGGGAGTTTCTTGGTGAAACATACGCTGAGTTGAAATGTCTTCACTGCTAATAAACAATTCAATGTTGGATGATGAGATGAGGTGAAGAGTGGAGCGCTTCTCACAGCCGTGGCTATAGAGGGAGCGAGGTAGTTACAGCACGTGAGAGCGAGTGTGTTGGCACAACTCTAAATGGAGGCGAGCCAACAGTTATCATCCTAAGTAGCTGACTTATTTTAATATGCTTGAGTGCAGAGGCGTGCATGGCTGTGTACATTCAAAGAGGGAGAGAGAGAGAGAGAGAGAGAGAGAGATTAAAGATGAGAGAAAGTAGGTCAAAATCCCACGTAGTACATTTTGTCACCGACAATGTATCAAGAGCATGGATCATCAACCCGTAAGATTTGGCTGAATCATACCATGAGAATGAGGGCATGAATGCTGGTCTAAAGAGATACATTTCGAGTCAACATGGCGCAGAGGCCGTGGTCCATGTCTCCATCATGACATGCTCTGTCACGTCTTGAGCTTCAAGTCATAAAAAAACAGAACGTAACACACGAATATGTTGGAGCGAAATGATTTATCAGCGGCAAAATTATATATGTATAGACACACACACACACACACACACACACACACACACACACACACACACACACACACACACACACACACACACATTTTTTTTTTTTTTTTTTTTTTTTTTTTTAGCATGCATAGTCTTGTCTAAAGAGAATACCAGGTCAGTTACGGATACTTTGTCTGCTTCCTCGATGAAGGTGGACAAGGTGGAACTAAAGTAATACTGTACTTTTGGTATTAAAAATGCTTTGGCCTGATCACAAAAACATCATTTCAAACAGGTGGTGTTTGAAAGGGTAACAGAAGGTCGGTTCCCAAAACCATACACACATACGTGGATTTGCAAGCTCGGTATTTGCAAATTAAACAAGCTAAAATTCCTGTGACACGTTTCCCTTTGCCACTCGAGTTGTTTTGTCCTGCAATGTTTCCTAGCCAGTGCCAGCTTCATTTAAAGATGCATATTTATTGCTGACAATTTGTCACTGTGCTTTTGGTAAAATATGTCAAAATAATAGAATACTAAAATATCCATCCATCCATCTATTTTCTGATCCACTTTATCCTCACAAAGGTCGCCGGGGGTGCTGTAGCTTATCCCAGTTGTCTTCGGGCAGTAGGAGGAGGGAAACCCTGAATCGGTTGCCAGCCAATCGCAGGGCACACATAGAAACACAAACATTCGCGTTCACACTTACACTAGGGACAATTTCAAGTGTTCCATTAACTTGCCACGCATGTTTTTAAAATGTGTGAGTAAACCGGAGCACCCGGAGAAAAGTCACACGGGCACGGGGAGAACATGCAAACTCCACACAGGAAGACCGGAGCCGGAATCGAACCTTGTACCTCTTACACTATGAGGCTGACGCGCTAACAAGACGACCAGCGGGCCACCATAGTAAAATATGTCAAAATTTATGCCACAAAATGATCAGAAGAACAGCTGTAAACATGTTTAGTTTTTAAAAATCTTCAACAACATCCTGCATGTCAAGCAAGTGCTGTTGAATATTTCTATTCTGTTGTCAATCGTGGAGTTAAAACAAAAAATCCCAAGATGGACATGAGAGGTCAAAGTGAGAAATGTGCCGCCTCTCTTGGGCAAAGGGTAGGAAGTGATGGATTCAAGACGACAGTTGAAGAACGCTAGCATTACCCATCAGGTATCTCTCATGCACGTACATACGCATACCACCACCAGTGTTTGTTTTTTTTTTTGTGTCGAAGAGTGGCTCAGAGGGACTGTCACCTGTTGGTAAAAATACCACTTTTGAATAAGGCGGACACACAAACACGTTTGTACTTCTTTGTATTGACCTGTTTTTGTTTTTTGTTTTTGTCAATTAAAAAAGAATGTCAGCAAAACAAAATTGTACATGCCGAGACAACAAAAAACATTTCTGCCCGCGCATTTGCACATTTACACACAATTGACACAAACATGAACACAGGCTTTGTATCCATCCCTACAAATAGTATGTGGTTGTATATCGTGTGTTAATGATAATTGTCAGTGTTTTTTTTTTGTTGTTTTTTTTTTTTTTGTAAAAGAGTCCGCGAATCATTTTTATATCTGTATCCGTAGTTGTTCACTTTATTTTGTCCATTTCACATGGCTACAGTGTGCGCAGTTACTGCTCTTGGCGCTTTTGTGGAAGCCTTTTTCATTTGACAGCTGCTTCAGGTGATGAGATGATGGTTGGAGGTTGAACGAGAAGTCGTGAGCAGCCACGAGGATTCTGCTCCTAGCACTGTGCATCCAGGCCAAAACATGGCAGAACAAAGTTAGAAGGAGCCCTACATGGCCGAGCGCGTCATGAATCTCTCTTGACCTAAATAAGCCGCTCTGTCTGAACAAGACTCAGATCTTAATTAATTGGAAAAGGAAAGGAAAGAACTGGTAGACACATAAGGGCAGCCAGGGACATCCCACAAGCAAGTTGAACTTATTTCGGAGAAGATTTCGACCACCAATTAGGTCAGGAGACAAGCTCATTCTTATCTACCGTTATCCACATATTTCTTATTCATTGTTGAATTCTAGTGGCTTTATTTTTGAGTCTGTTATCATCAACTATTTTTATAATGAGTACATTGGAATATCATGGTTGAAAACAATATGAAACAGACGAAACATTGTTTACATTAAGTGTGTTCAACTCTAGAGGCTTCCATGAATTATGTGTGATTATTCTGGTTAATGTACACACTGTACGGAATACAACATGCACCGCTCATTTATGAAAAACTGCAATAGGTAGCCATTAAATCCAGAATCTTCAAAGCTGTTATATGAGAGCCACATTGCCTGCCAAGAAAATAAATACAAACGAGTCTTTTTGTACAGCGTGCATTATGAACATCTGACAGACCACTCAGCAACATTTCCACGTAGTCTGGTCTGGTGAACGAAACCCCGCACACGTCTCATCATGACTCAGTCATCAAAGTGCCGTGTTTGTTACTGTCTCTTTGTCATCATGAAAAACAGGGGGCGACAACCAATTCATCTCGTCGTCGTGGATGAAAATAACACAAGATGAGGCAAACGCAAATGGCAGCATTCAGAGCTGATGTGAAAATTGTTCTGCACTACTTCTTGACTCAGAAACAACAGGCCCCATTCCATGTGCGCATCAGACTGAAAAACGCTAATCCATCCATTGATTTCCTATAGTGCTTTTCTTCATTTGGCTCGCGGTTGAGCTGGAGCATATACCAGCTGACACTGGAAGAGGCAGGCAGGGCAAACACAGATGAACAAACGTTCACTCTCACGTTCTCACCTCGATTCAACTCATCTAAACTCAACTATATTTTTGTGCACTTTAAAAACAACCACCACTGAATACAAAGTGCTCTACATGGAGCAAAAATAATTCATACAACAACAAACAATTAAGAAATTATTTAATAACTGAATAATGCCGAAGGTTCAGAAGGAGGTCATTCCAAAGAGAGTGACCAGCAATGCAAAAGGCTCGATCTCCTCTGAGCCTCCGCTTAGTTTTTGGTACCTCTAGGGAGCCAGTGAAGGGATGCCAGAGTAGGAGTTATGTGCTCCCTCTTATGAGTACCAGTCGAGAGGTGAGCGGCAGCATTCTGGACCAACTGGAGATGCTTAATGGAGGATTGGCTCACTTCAAAGTAGTGCATTACTGTAATCCAGCCAGGATGTGACAAAGGCATGAATGACTGTTTCAAAGTGCTGCTGAGAAAGGAGAGGCTTGCTGCCGAAGATTAAAGAAGCTGGATTTAACAACGGCACCCGGTAGCCGGTCCAATTTGAAATCACTGTCTAGTTTAAGACCCAAGTTCAAGACTGTTGGTTTAAGATAAGGAGCCAGGGGGCCCCAAGTCGGCAGGATGGGATGTACAAGGGCCACTGGGACCAAACACCATCACTTCTGTGTTCTTTTCAATGAAATTCAAGAAATGTAGTGCCATCCAGGTCTTGATTTCCTCCAGAAAGGATAAAAGTGGCCTCAATGAGAAAGTGTCTTTTTTGCTGAGCGGGACATAGATCTGACAGTCATCTGCATAGCAGTGAAAGGAAATACCATTCACTCACGTTAACGGACAATTTAATGAATTTAATTTACTCTTCAATGAACTTTGGCTTGTGTTTTTCCGATATCTGAATTGTATTTGAATATGTATACATGTATACCGTGTGATATGAATCCAATAACCATTTTTAATTAGTCAAGAAACCATGCACGCACTGTCATTCTTTTGCATGAAAATTAATTGTAGTTGTAGGTCACGTGTGTGAATTGTTCATACCAAGCTAAAACTCACATTGATTGAATGAGCCCCGTTAGTTTGTTAGTGTTCTGCAGCCGTGCCAATGCTGATTTGCTCTTGTGAACGCTCCACTGCCATAGATGTGAATGAGATCTGGAGCATGTAATGTGATGATAATAGTCAGGTGTGTTATTTTCCATTTTTACGCGTCACCGGACGCCGAATATTCAGGTGAAGGGTTTGCCTCAACCCACTTCATTTTGGAACATTTCGTGCACATTACCAACAGGTTTGAGTGGGAAATGGTTGCACACTTCTTGCAATGTGCACACTGTCTAGTTGAAGGTATACTCAATTTTGCAAGACATTATGCATCTTTTTGGAAACAGTTTAAAAAACAATTTATAGGACTTTTATGATGTTTATGTGGCTTCCAAAATATTGGTAACAGCCCATGTGATTTTTCTTTTGTTAAGATAAATTAGATGTTCAGTAGCTATCAAAAGTGGTAAATTTGGCATCTAGTAAACTTACAGATTTGTCTCGAGTTGGTCCCTGAATGGATGCGTTGTGGGAAGTTCACCCCCGATTTAAGTCTGAGATGACAAGTAGAAGTTGGAAAATAAAAAGGGCAAAAGAGCAAACTGTGATCTCGCGGGCCACATGGGCGGTGCGATGCCCCTCGCTATTGAGGAGCGACTCGGGTCTGCGGCGATATTCGGTGGTGCGCTGGTTAGAGAGTTCTTGAATGGCGCACGTTTGTTCGAGCCTGGTAGCGCCCATTTTGGAGATCACCAGAGTCCCTCGGTCATCGTAGAAAATGAGTGAAGAGGGGTCCTCATGTATCTGGTGTAATGTCAGATTTGGAAAACTGTCGCTGTTTGTTCCAGAGCAGAAGTTGTGCCTCATTGTTATTTTATCCCAATATTTTTTTTCTTGACATCATTCAGCCTTCTTTTTCTGTTTTTGGTGACTCGCTTTGGCAGTGTTACAGCACCATCTCAGGCCTGGCATGTATACTACGGCGTTTCAGCAAAAAATGTTTGGACACACATTTTATTCAGTGTTTTATTTTGGTGGTTGCAAACGTTGTTCTCGTTTCTCTACCTCCTTCTAAGTGTATCCCTTCTGTGTGTGTACCTGGCATGTATACTACGGCGTTTCAGCAAAAAATGTTTGGACACACATTTTATGAAGTGTTTTATTTTGGTGGTTGCAAACTTTGTTCTCGTTTCTCTACCTCCTTCTAATTGTATCCCTTCTCTGTTTGTTTTGTCAATAGTGTGGCAAAGGAGCTGAGAACTTCGACAAGTTCTTCACACGCACGCAGCCTCAGCTCACACCTCCTGACGAGCTGGTGATCGCAAACATTGACCAGGCCGAGTTTGCGGGCTTCTCCTTCATAAACCCGCAGTTTGTACACCCGTCTCTCACCAACAGCGCATGAGAAGGATGGCCAAACGTCTCACCCGCTCCGTACTCATCCGGCAAGGATCTCCTCTCCTCACTGCCGTCCACTAATACAAAGCAACAACGTAACATGCGACCACCACTTGACATTACAAAACTCGATGTATCGTTTCGAATCACAAGAAGGCATGCTGATTTGTTTTCGAGATTCTAGATTAGCTTTGATTTAGAGTTTGCTGCCACAAGACGTCATTTCTTATAGTTTACTCATGAGCATGTATTGTGTACAATGATGTCCTTTTTATTGAACGTTTACTCCAAAACTGGACACACTAAGACATAACAGTGTTTGTAACTGCCAGTAAACGATGTAAAGGAATCCACAATTTTGTGGCGGGGTGTCAAAGAAGCAAGAATATTTCAAAGGAGCGTTCAAAGCATGGATTTATTCTGTAGGTGCATGTACTGTATGACTTATTTCAGAAGCCTTCTCGTCCACACACACAAGCATCTTGTCTGTGGTTCATAAATTCGTTTTTAATGAAGAATGAAGAATAGCCCGAAGGTACCTCCTGCCTCGGGAAGGAAAGCTATCGTAGCCAAATATTGAAGGCGAGGTGGTGCAGGCGTTGGAGAAAAAAAAGCACCTTTTGATTCAAGGTTCCTGTATCATGTTTACAGCTTTCTGCCTGTTTAATTTATTTCTGTCTACAAGGTTTTAGTGTCATTGGATTTGTGATTTTTTTTTCAATTGCCAGAAGTAGCAACAATGAAGTCCGATTTTAAGACCGCATGCAGTGGAGCCTGACAAAGAAAGAAGAGCTGGTCATTATGGCCGGGGAGTCGTTCCAAATTACAAAGCCCGACGAAACTTCTATTCGCTTCTTTTCCCTGCCGATTGTACAATGTTTTTAGAATTCTTTGAACACATTTATCAACCGTTTGACTTTAACTCACAGGATACATTGACATATCTCACATACCTTTAATATAATTATCAAAAGTTTACAATGCATCTATAAATCATCCACAAGTACAAAACCCGCTAACAGAAGTCGACAAATTGTCATTAACTTTCTGTTTTTAGAAAATAACAACAGTGGCATTCCCCCTTTTCATGCACCCCGTAACCTGATAACATGAGAAGCTGTCCACTGCAGTAACCGCTGTCCCTGAAAGGGTTAATATAAACGAGACCTGAAGTTTCTTGGATACAGCACTAAAAATCAGATGTAAAGTTTCTGTTTTTTATGCATTATGTTGTGTTTTAGAAAACAATCTTTCGTTCGATTTGTCAATAGTAGAATAATGTTTGTTTGTTGTTTTTCCCGAAGCTATAAATGTTTGAATCATCCTCATCGTTGTCATTCGAGATGATCCAGAACGCGTCTAAATCAGTGTAGAACACCTTTGTAAATAATCCTTATGGGGTATTTCAAAAAAATCTAGCACATTTTTACATCGAGATCTAAATGTGCTTTTCTTACATTGTTGAGAGGATGAGAAACTGCAGTTTAGCAGTGTAGCATCTTTATAACGAGAGCTCAAGTAACACTGCAAGTTGCACATTTTGATTGATTGGATGAACACGGCTTACCGTCGTGGGATTTCAAGTTGTGTTGGACGAGCAAGCATGTGGGAGCATCGCTCATGTGAGACATTTCATGCAGCTTGCCGCTGAAATGTCATCGTCGATTTCAACCAAAAAGGAATTCTCCCCTCCAAATGCAAGCCCCTTTTTAAAGACTTTCAGTCAGCGAGAACAATAGGAACAGGATGCGCCCGTTGTGTCATCTTAACTTTTCACTCTTCATCTTTATATTCAGTATTTATAATATGTGTGTTGGATTTGAATAGCGTTTTTTTTTTTTTAGTTTTCAGGTGTTCGATTGTGACTTTCGGCACACTTCCCCATTGGCCAAGAGCCCGTAACATATCCCACCAGAAGTTGTTATCATGAGAATTTAGTAGCATTTATTAGAAACAAAAAAAAAATGCACTGAAGTAAACATTAATTTGATTTTTTTTCAACTGAAAATCACCCCAATAATAGTAAATTCTAGCATTTTCTTGCCACCTTTGTGAAATAGATTTTTTTTTTTTTTTTTACAAAAGTGCATTTATGAACATTTGGTCATATGAATATCGGTAGTTCCACAGAGTTGCATAGGTGTTTGTTTTTTTTTCTTCTTCTTTCTTCTTTCTACCCAAAATCTTGCTGCCGTAGACTGTAAATTTCCCCAGTGTGGGACAAATTAAGGATATCTTAATCTTAATTATAAGATTAACATGATTTATGTTTGACAACATGACTATTTTTCTTTTAACCAACGAAATACAACTGTGCTAAAACAGTTGAGCATCATTTTTAGGGTAAAAAATAATTTGTTTATTATTTGAAATATTTTGAGCACAAGGTTTGCGTATTTGTGGAGCTTTGCAGAGATTCATCGCTCATTTATTGCATGTCCTCAATTGACTCCTAAACATGTATCACACCCCCTTTTAGGTCACAACATCAGGATTTTGTGGCTTTATCATGTTTAACGAATCCACCTCCAAGATTAGGTAGCGACAAGCACTGAAACATTGTTAGTGCTCCTCTAATGCTGCTTCTGTCGCTCTTGACCAGTGGGACCACTTGCTAATGTCTCATTAACAACGGGGTTTATAATCTTAAATGTTGTGTTTGGTATTTTGTTAGCTTTGCTTTTGTGTTGCTTTTGCGTTGCCAGTTATCTCTCCAGCTTCTTCAGCCAATCAATTAAAAAGAAGCCCTCCCTGTAAATTCACACAGACACACACACACACACACACACACACACATCTAAACTTTCTTTCCTGCAATATGTGACGTATCGCAGCATATAGCAAATCATCTTTCCCGTGCCAAACAAATGTGCCAGACGCTGTTTTTCCATTCATCTCTCCTGCCATGAAGCACACCCGCTGCAGGCCACGTAACAACACACAAGCATTGTTTCCTTACTAGCTCGTAACACACAGGCGCCACACAAACACCGTAAAGTACCCGGTGCTTCCATTTGTCTCCTGACTAGCCAGGCTGACTTTGGTCTGAATACACATTCTTCAGTTTGAATTGAAACATCTCTGCGTGGCATTCAGTAAAAACTGGGGTGGCCAATAACTAATGATCATTGAGTTGACCAATGTCAAATTTAGTTGCTGCTCTTAGCATTTTTTAATGAATAATTTGACATCATATACTGAGAAGTGATAAGTCATTTTAATCGACTTTTATTGGACAATAAATCACATTTGTGAAGAATTGTCCAATGTTGGCCATCAACTTTCCTATAACGCTTTCAATCCCTTCCACCGAGATGCAATGTCACTCGCTACTATGAAAATGGGAGCCGCAAACGTCTTGAACGAAACAATTTGAGCCATTGCATACCTGACATAAACCTGCATATCATCACAATGCAATGAAAACTATATATTTGTCTTATGTTTTCAGCTTTTCTTACAAAGACATTTTTTTAATTGGTTTTAAAAATGGAGTATGGATATAAATTCATTCCCGTGATTGGACAGTGATGTCAATTGGTGGCAGGAGAATTGCCACATGAATGTAAATATATCCAAGAACATATTACAAGCTTTTTTTGGACAAAATGACAAAATAAAGCTGCTGATAAGTGATAGAATAAACTAAAACACCAAGAAAAGGTGGTACATCTGTTAAATTGATTTTTTTGCATAGTTGAATCTCATTTTAAATCTCTTGCTCCTCATCGCCCCCCCCCCATGTCTTTTTTTATCCTCTCTCCTCACTAGCTGGGCCAACTTTATCCATCATCTTATCGCTTTTGAAGTCTTTAATTTAAACACACACACACACACACACACATATCCAGCATGAAGATTGTCAACAAGTCAAATTTTTCTGTCTGCTATAATTCCCAGAAAAATGTTATATTGGTGTTTTACATTGTTTACATTTAAGTTTTTTTTTCTTCATTTCTTTAATTATGGCCAGATACGAATCAAGACATCTTAATTGTAAAGTATGAATGAATGGGTTTGTTTTCTTTCTTAGACTCCTGCTCCCGTAGGTACATGGTACACGCTAAGGCTTTCGATAAATCCTGTGGTCCCTTCATAGAAGTTAGTCAGTGCCAGTTAAGAGAATTGAAGGACGGGTTATCTTTTTGAATGAGGGCAGAAATGCTTTATTGCCAAAGTCATCACAAGTCTCTTACTGTCCTTGTACATAAACTACTTGCAGTAGATGCCTACGTAGACAATAAATGAAGGATTACCTTGTATTTTGCAAATGTTTGGTCTCTTTCCTTGACAGCCTGAAACCTTTAAAACGACTGAGCAACCTACCTTGTAACTGATTGTGTCATTTGTACCTAATGTATGATAATGCAAATTAAAAAAAATTGAAACTGAGGTTCACACTTTGGCACAGCGGTTTTTATTTGAACTCTTTACTGTGTGACTGTATTCAAAAAATGTCAACGTCACCAAGATGGAGCTGCCCATCTATAAAAATGTGCTTTTTCTCTATCTATCTCTCTCTCTCTCTCTTTATTTTACAATATGGAAATGTGTTGAATATTTTCAGATGATTGATACCTATTTCCCCAATTGATTATATCGCAGTGCAGTGTTTAATCTTTAAAAAAATAAAATAAACATGTGACTATAACTGCCTCGGGTATGCTGCATGTTAATTTCTGCCCGTGGGAATCCAGATGGTGTAGCCGACTTTGATATTTGGCTGTCAGAGAAGAAGGCCAAATTCAAGATGAAATGAAAGGGAGAGCTACAAAATGGCAAGTGTGTGAGTCGTCATCGTGAGGGCACTGAAGGTTCATATGAAAGATGACGTGCTCTTCATGCATCCATCTTTCATTTTATCGTTGAAGAACACAATGTGTGAGTCATCCTACAAATGTCCAGATGCTCTTCAAGGCCCATATGTTCTGACAAGCTACGTTCTGAATCAGAGTGATATGCAGTATGTTTGATTACACGTGACAACATGCTGCAATGGAAATAATTAGCTTGGCTTGATGTATGTGCCTTGATGGCATTATTTAGTCACCTTTGTCTAACATGGACATTTAGAAGGCCACAGTGCAATCACTACATTTAGTTTGGAATTATTTATTTGTATTCCAGCTAAATGTGTGGATGTCCATCTGTTACATGAGAAAAGCTTTGAAAAAAGTTTCTCCCAGCTAGTCCCATCAACTAATCAGCACATTAACAACACGTCAACAATTTTTGTACTTTTTTTTTTTTTAATCATAGTCCCAATTCCTCTGTTTTACATTATTTTTTGTTCTAAATCTCAATATGCCTTTGTGTTTTTCACTAAAACATCAGATTTCTATAATAGTTTTTAAAATTGCTGTAAAACGGATTTGGTCAATTTTAGCATGAATCATGGAAGTCGATATATGAGATTTGCTTTAGCAGATCACATAAATGATGTGGCGGACCAGATCTGGCCCCCAAGCCTGATTTTAACACATCTGATTTCGAGTCTTCAATAACCCTCTGAAGCAGGATTTTTGAATGTGGGAGGAAGACGGAATACCCACAGAAAACCTACGCAAGCACGAGGAGAACAAGAAAACTCCACACAGAATGACCAGAGACCAGATTGGAGCGCCCCACGAACCCTGAGTACAAAGTTTTGCCTGTATTTGACCATTGTTCTATTTATTTAAACATTTAAAGTGACTTTTGTTTTCGGTGTTAATGTTTTAGTTGTTTGTTGCTATAATGTGTCGTCCTGTATGTTTGTTGTTGTTTTTTTTTGGGGGGGGGTAGTTGCGGGGCATGTTCCATCACCTATAGTCCTTCATGCAGATGTAAGCCAACTAGGAATGGTTTTAGATACTGTTCTATTTATTTAAACATTTAAAGTGACTTTTGTTTTCGGTGTTAATGTTTTAGTTGTTTGTTGCTATAATGTGTCGTCCTGTATGTTTGTTGTTGTTTTTTTTGGGGGGGGTGGTTGCGGGGCTTGTTCCATCACCTATAGTCCTTCCTGCAGATGTAAGCCAACTAGGAATGGTTTTAGATACCCCCGATGTAAATTAAGGATTGTCTGGGTGATTGAACGATTGATAATCCGCACATGTATCCATCAGACCCGCATCCAAATGTGAATTCCAAGCGCACTTGCCGTTCGGGTCGGCTGGCACGTGCCACGCGCGCTCCCTTTTGTCGAGCAAGTTGACGTGCACGAGCCTGAGGTGCTCGCAGCTGTCCTCGGCTCCAAAGTGAAGACTACGCGCAAGAACAAGGAGACAACAAACAAAACGCAACAGAACAACAAAGTGGACGAGTAGGCTTTTCTTCAACGACTTTCCTCGGTGAATGTAAGAGCATTTTCCGATTGATGTCATCTGACTGTGGCTTTGTTTTATCGTACACTTATGTCATGCATTTGAATAACACTGCTGTGTTATTCGTCGTCTTCCTACGCACTGAGAAGGGTTCGCATGTTTGAACAACTACCAATGTGTTTGCACGGAGTGTTGAATGATGCTAAATGTTTATTTTGCTGTTTAAATGTCACGGTGGTGGCTGCTGTGATTATTGCGCCTCAAGCTTTACGTTTTTGTTTTTTGTTGTTTTTTTTTGCCGTCGACATAACTTTAGAATCATTAGACAGCGAGGGAATGTACATTTTTCCACATATGAGGAATAATATGAAGTTAAGTTGCGTGCCTATTTTATAATCGAGACCTCTGTGGTTGGTATTGTGCATCAAAAATGGAAACTACCGACATATAATTGTTGATAGATATTATCAGAGAGATAAAAAAATAACAATAACAGTCATGTTCCAGCTGTCCTAGTATGGTTTGACTTGTATGTTAAGTAAGGTAGTACTGTATACTCTCCGTATAATTCATTACAGTTCTACTCCACTGCTAACTATTACTAAAACCTCAATAAAAGATTTGGAAATGCATTCATACGTCTGACCTTGTCAATCAAATCCGAGCACGATTTGTGTGATACAGATTTTGTAATGGATGTCACCATATTGAGCTGAATTGCTTTGTAAGACTTTAAGTACAAATCAGTTGTCACTCGTTTAGATTAAATAATACTTCTTCCACTAAAACTGGATGGCTAAAAACAACTGAAGCAATGACAGGTTTATTGACGTTTCAGCACTATGGACAGCAAACTGTACTTTAGCCAAGAGCACATAGCAGCTCTTAAGTAAGCCATTCAATAAAATACTTCATTTCAATCATTTTAGTAGTTGCAAACCTACCAATATTAGTCAACAAATGTTCAAGTTATGTACACAGACATATGTCTTGACTTCTTTGTTGTACCGCAGCAGTGCGCAGCCCACAGCCTCTCTTGGCTGACCGCCATTTCTCAACATGCTGGCCAGACAAAAAGTGCTCGAGCAGATATCCAAACAGCAGTGTGTGTGAGGCGGCCGTTGTGTGTGTTTGCAACAGCAGCATAAACACTTTCGGAGAACTGTCAGGGCTTTTTGCGGCATTCGCATCTGGTGTGATGGTGAATGACAGGCGACTTGTTGCAATGAGACAGGCATTGATGTGATTTGCTCTGTGTTGTGTTGACATCTCAGAAAGGTGTTTCCCACCAGGACTCAAATGAGGATGAATTTCATATTAATATCTTGTCATGTCTCAGTATAGTTTTTCTCCTTCATTGGCATGTTTTTTTTTTTTTTTTCTAGCTGCTGGTATTTTCTTTGCATTCTCATGCGGCTGTCCTCATGTTCCTCTGTGGCCATCTTGCGTTGCGTTTGTTGCCTGTCCACTCTGAGGTCACCCAGGGACTACATTTGCAGAAGGGCTCGTCCAGCTCTTCTAAGTGGGTCAAACATGCATCGCAAAGCACATGCATGTTTAGATTCTGACTGTTGTTGGATAAAAATCAGGTCTTTTTAATCAGAAGTGCCATCTTCACAGTCAAGAAATGGCTTGGGCGCCAGGTCAGATTCCTCACTACATTAAAAATACAAAAAATATAACTAAGAAATGCTAAAGGTTCAAAAGTCGCCATCTCGAAAGCAAAGTATGACAGCAAGTTCGGCTCCTGGAGCAGACTGAGGGTTTTCTTGTTGCGCTCCACTTTTATCTTCAGTCTTATTGCGGGCTACGTGCTGGCATCACAGTCCATATGAGTGGGGTGCAAATAACTCACACATCATGCAAATAGTAAACATATTGTACCCAAAAACAGATGCTCTGACGAGGGCTCGTCCATCCATCCATCCATCATCTGATCCGCTTTCTCACAAGGGTCACGGGGCGTGATGGAGCCTAACCCAACTGTCTTCGGGCAGTAGGCAGGGGGCACCCTCAACTAGTTGCCAGCCAATCGCAGGACATACATAGATGAACAGCCATCCGCGCTCACACTCACACGAGGGGCAATTTCGAGTGTTCTATTAACCTGCCATACATGTTTTTGGAACGTGGGAGGAAACCAAGGTACCTGGAGAAAACCCAAGCAGGCACGAGGAGAACATGCAAATTCCACACAGGAAGGCCGCAGCCGGAATCAAACCCTGCACCTCTGCACTGTGAGGCCGCCGTGCTAACCACGTGTCCACACCGTGCTGCCCTAAGAACATCTCGATTTATGAACTTTGACAAATACCAAAACAACACAATGAGTTTAAAACAAATGAGTAAAAGGAAATGGAGTGAAAATCATTTTACAAAGTACAACATACAGTATAACTAATACAAACAGTAAATAGTGAGTATTGCAATGTCCAAAGCAAAGTTCTTTGCACGAATACCTTTTTTGAGCAATAATTGTCACACATGAACATTGCTCTCCGCCAAAGCGTCAGACGTGTCACCTCAGCACTCTGCTCAGTCATAACTGACCGAGAGAAGGAGGTTATCTGTCGGAGTGCATGACATTGGTAGGTAAACTGCAAGCTCTCCACTTGCGGATGAGTAGCTGGCCAGCGCCCCGTTAAAATCCCTAATACTTGGGCGATCATTCAAATATTTTCAGAGGGTGATGTAAGCATAAGTAAGATGTTTTTGATGACCAGTCCATTGATCACAGTTTTTGCACATTAGGTGACGTTTAGATTCCTACATTATGGTTTTAAATTGTCGTGGTGTGTCACTGTGCGGCAAGTGAAGAGGGACATATTACATGTCGGCATTAAAGAGCCGTTTGAAGTACTTACTTTTTTTCCACATTCGGTGTAAAGAAAAGCCCAAGAAGAATTGAAGAGTTTAAAATCCCTCCACGTAAATACTTTGCATCTTTCCAGTTCCACAGTGAGCGCCTAATACTGCAGCACGCTGAACGCTCATTATGTAAAATCAATTCTTTTCACCACCAAATCCTGTGCCAAGCTCCCCAGCGCTCGAGCTGCTGCCAAATGTGGGGCCGGTTAACATATGGAAAAACTCATTGTTTTGAAGTTCATAAGCTGACACATTATGTACACCATCTGCAATGCTGGATCTTAGTGCTCTTTGCAAAAGTGGAGTTGTTGTTATTTTTGTTTCCAACCTGTTATAATCTTCTTATCACACAGGCACTTTACTTGCTGTTGATTTACCTCATCTTTTACTAAATCAATCTTTTTGTATTTCTCTCTGTCTTCTCCCAGTTTCCCTTTCTGCTGGCGGCGCCCCTTTGCTCTTGAAGCTGTGGCATGAGCCTATGTGGCAGGAAGGCACTGACGTTGCTGAGCAGCGTGTTCGCTGTTTGCGGCCTGGGCCTGTTGGGCATCGCCGTAAGCACCGATTACTGGCTCTACCTGGAGGAAGGCGTCATCCTTCCACTCAACCAGAGCACCGAGATACGCATGTCCCTCCACTCTGGCCTCTGGAGAGTTTGTTTCCTGGCTGGTACGTGCAGAACTCCTCAGTTGCTTTTTCACCAGTGGTGACGTTTCACTTCATTTCATCATTCAAGTGATACCAGGTGGGCTGATGAAGCCTTGTGAAGAAGAAGGCCTTTGCCATATTAATTTGGTAAAAGAGTCAAAGCCTTATAAAATAGAGCAAATCTGGTGGTCCTCAAAGTGACTAAATTGATTTGTATTCCAAAACAATAACAATACATTTAGTCATACACTTGTCTTGTCTCGGTCTAATGATCGCCATGTACATATGTGAGTGTTGAAACATTTTGACACTGTACCAGTGTCAATCTCATGTGCCGTCACCCATTCCATTTTAAGAAACCTGATTTGGACAAGACCCAAGTGGGCTGTGAAACAAGAGTTTTCTCTCAAGCACATTTTTTTGCCACTGGGTACTTACTCTTACTGAAGTAATTACTCAAACTTCAGTCATACTACAAAGTAACAGTACAGTGGAGCGCTGCCATTTGTGGACGAATAATGAACATTTGTGTATAATACCCCAAAAATTCTTCCACAAAAAATGTTGAATTCCCCCCTCACCCCCCCAAAATAAACATACAAAAACAAATCAAAACAAAAGTATTTATAAAAACATTAAGGGGAAAAAAAATCTGCAAATAAGTGAACCGAGCCACAAGGGTCCACTCTATTCATACATGAGTACTTTGAGGTCCGTATTTATTACCACACTGCACTGCTGGCATCTCAAAAGTGGTGGGACATACAGCATTGAAGCATTTTACAAATAAAATGCAATAGTTTGACATGAATAGCAATAGCTTTACATTAATAATGTTAAAAGCGTACTTTTGTTTCACTACCAAAGACAGAGAAATAATTTGATATAAACAGTAATTGATTTTCATATCAAATTCTACTCAAATGTCATTAGAACAGCATTCTGTGATGGAGCACTGCATGGAAGTATTAATAGATGTTTCTATTTTTGTCAGTATATGAAACATTGATTTTCACCTAATATGTTCTTAATACTACAGATCTTTCCCCCTCAAAAGTGCAGGGTTTCACCCAAAAGTATTTTGCCATCCAAACGCAAACATGAAATCCACTGAATGTTTCCATGGTGAAAAAAATCACATGAAGTAAATATGACTGCAAGCAAGTGCAAGTCACAGGTATAAATTTAGGAAAATCATTCATAAGACATCATTTAATCCTTAGTCTTCATGTAAGAAAATATCACCATGTGTTTTTTCGAGAAAAAAAAAACATAATTTCATTCTATTTAAAGCTTTCTCTCCACATCTAGTTGCTACGTTACAGAGAAATGCGACGTGTGAAAAACACACAAAAGCTGTGACTCTCTGTATTGTGATGTTGCGGTCACTTGACCATTGTGTGTCCAACTAGCAGCTTGAAGAGGAGTCTGCTGCTCCACTTACACGTCAACACAATCTTGCGATGCTCTGTAGCTGACTATATAGCAACTATGTTCACATGGTGACATCAACCAAGACTGTTGAAAGCTACTCCATAGAGTGGCAGCGTGTGCTGTTACTTTCACACTTAAGGTGGAAAAAGAGGCAGCAATTATGTCTGTGTGACTGTTAAAAGCACTTTCCACTCACTCAGCATGTTTTTCAAGAAGTCTTGCTTCATACTCAAGTGTGGCGCTAAATGTTTACTTTTTACTGTTTTTACTGTTAAGGTTGTGAATGTGCAACTTTGCTTGGAGCGTAAATATTGCTATATAAATAAGATACTAGTCTTTTTTCCATCAACAAGACAAAGAACTTTGAGCTCTGGGTTTTGTGAGTTCCTGGTAATTTGTTCTCGTCATGCTACAACTGCGCTGGGCCTCATGTGATGACTGCAAGTACTGGATGCAGGCAGGTCAATACAGTGTGATGATGACATAACACCGTTTCCTGATACACAACACAATACACGACAGGCTATTTAATGGGCCACTGTGTTTTAAGGGCAATTGAGTGGCCTTATTGTCCACTTAACTGCTGCGCTTGCACTGTGTTTGACCTACAAATAATCACTGGACATGATCACATGCCACAGTTACAACGGGGAACATGAATGACGTTGCATGGGGTCTTTGTTTGCTTTCATTGCACTTGGAGGACAAGGAAAGAATGTTTACTCAGAGAGACCTTGGGAGTCTTTTTAGCCATGTTCAACATGGTACAGTATTGAAACTTTTTGGGGGGGTACAAGTGACTACTATCACCATGGGGGTGAGAGGGGGGCAAGCGAGTACTAATGCGGAGGGTTGGGGGGGGGGGCACCACACAACAGGAGGTGGTTGGAGTAAGTAAACACTCCCCAATTCCCACTGCCTTACTGCAGCCCGAATAAATACTGGAAATGAATGAACCAAAACGGACGGCCTGGTGGGGGACTGGTTAGCATGTCCACCTCACAGTGCAGAGGTGCAGGGTTCAATTCCAGGCCCCGCCCTTCCTGTGTGGAGTTTGCGTGTTCTCCCTGTGCCCGCGTGGCTTTTCTCCCACATTCCAAAAACATGCACCATGGGTGAATAGAACTCTTGTTCGTCCTTTGGTGTGAGTGTGAGTGCGGATGGTTGTTCGTCTATGTCCGCCCTGCAGGACAGGACAGGACAGGACAGGACAAAGCCACCAATACTGACATTGACGACGACCCCCTGTTTACTGAACACAATCAAGCCCTTTTGAACACCGATAGTTATTATTTGCAGGTGGGGGCACACCTGAAACTAGTTGCTAATTGGGGTCACTCTCCCCTGCATTGATCGGTCAGCCAAGTTGTGAACAAGGGCCACAAATCAGCAAAGAGCAATAAAAAACTAAATAAATGATCATGAAATGTTGTGCACCGTAGCAGTGATTGATATGCTTAATCATAACAGTAATGACTGAAGTGTGTACAAGCCAAGCTGATTGTCTGCCTCTTCTTCCTTCTAGGGGAGGAGAACGGTCGCTGTTTTACCATTGAATATGTGATGCCCACTAAAGTTCAGATGACTTCAGAGTCCACTGTCAGTGTCCTGAGTAAGTGCATCTAGTCAAGCTTTTAAAAGCTTGTCGTGTTTACACAATTAAGGCCACTCATAGCCAAGTGTTAGATCCTGAAGGGCAAACGATGTGCTTGGTTGTGTATTTTCATTTTGATGGGTTGGCATGCACTTTACATTGAGATGGAATTATTTGGATACAAGCACTTTAATGGTGAGGCCTTTGTGCACAAAACTGCACGTTTAACTCAACACGGCGTATGAAGCTTCCAAGAATTACTGAGCCTTTTTGATTTTGAGTGCCATTTGCTCTCAGTCGGAGGGTCAGACTACATTTTGACATGTAAGATTAAAACTTATGCCAAACAATACTTGTAATGGAAAACCACAGGTTGCTACTCTTGCTTGGTTAAAAAAAAAAAAAAAAAAAAAATCTTCATTTCTGTTTTGTTATAGAGATGATCCGTTCGGCCACACCTTTCCCACTGGTCAGCCTCTTCTTTATGTTCATTGGTTTTGTGCTCAGCAACATTGGCCACATTCGACCACATCGCACCATCCTGGCCTTTGTTTCGGGGATCTTCTTCATCCTATCAGGTACTCCTTTGGGCTTCTACTCACAGAGGGACATGGGCCCTGTTTTCGTGCCCAATGTGAGTCTAGCACAGTGCATTGTAACTTCCCGAATAGATGGAGTTTTCTTTCTTTTGGTATTTTCATAGACGGCGCAGCTGGAAAGGGGCGTTTGCGCCTTTGTGAGAGTGAACACAAACGCCTTCTTTCAGCACAGACGTGCGGTCTACATTTTGGAAGGACTCGCTGGAAACCACAAAAAAAAAATCAGCGTGCAGAGAGTCCATTTAAAAGGAACTGCAAGAAGCTCTGCACTTGTGGATGTCGTAACGTTGGCCACTTTGACATGGGCTCCTGGAGATTGGCTTTCACCCCCATACGATGACATCCGCCACACACGTCCAAGGAGCTGATAGTCTTTCGGCCTGTGACTCAAATCAATGCACCCAAATTGCGTTAGCCCATCTGCGCCACAACTTAGACCTGCTTTTATCTGGTCTAATAAAATTGTCAGGTACGTTACGGGCAGGGCCCAGAAAGGTGCAGCACGGTCTTCCAAATTACCAAACACGGTAAACTAGACTTGCCTCGGAAATGAAAATGAAGATGTACCCGTTATTACACTGAGCACAGCTGTGCCTGTCTATGAAAATAGAGCCCCATATCTTGGAGCATGTTCTCATTTAGTAGGATTTGATTCCAAATAAAAATAAGTACTTCCTGTACGTCTCACTACAGGGATAGACTTTCCTGTAACCCTTAACAGGCGAAGTGATATATAAAGTGGCCAAGCCTAAATATAACACTGAGAAAATCGTTGTCTTTGTGTGTGTACAGTTCCCAGTCACTGAGTGTGTGCAGTGTGAATGTTCGTCCATGTCTATATGTGCCCTGTGATTGACTGCTGACCAGTCCAGGATGTCGTCTGCCTTTTGCTGAATGTCAGCTGGAAGGCTTCAGCTCCCAAATCCCTAACGTGTTAATTGTTAGAGTAATCAATGGGTTTTTTTCCTCATTAAATCGACTTCTGTTTCTCATGAATGATACTTTCTCCTGTAGATTCAGAGTAAAAAAGGTGGCAGTAGAACACTAATATGTTGTTTCTGTGCCACAGGTCTGTCCCTGGTGGTTGGTCTGGTGTTGTACATCTCAAACATCAATGATGAAATGTTGAATAGGACCAAAAGCAATGAGGCCTACTTCAGCTATAAGTACGGATGGTCGTTTGCCTTTGCTGCCATCTCCTTCCTCCTCACTGAGGTAATGCCACATGTCAACATTTTTTTTTCATTCATCTCCCTGAGTCTTAAATTAGTCTGTAAAATATTATTATATGACCTTGACCATTTTGTAATTTGCTCCCCAGCATTCTTGAAACATTATATTTGATGTCAGCAGGGGAAACAATACATTGCACCTTTTCTTATCAACTAACCGGTCACCGACTGCACTGAAGCATTTAGCAACGACATCCGATAAAATCTCTTATTTTGAACACGCTTCTTGGTTAGGATTACGTTTTCTGTTTGGAATTAGCGTAATGGAAATAATCCCTTTTGATGTCACTGTCATGAAACCTAAACTTGTAGGCAATATTTTAAGATTTCTAATTGTCATTCAAAGCATACATGGAAAAATTGACTATTTTTTTTTTTGTGTATACGTTACTTCAAAATGATGTCTCTCGATGGTGCAATCACAGCGCACTCTAGTGGTTAAAGTATAAAATTACATAATGACTAGATAAGGATCTTAATAGAAAGCACTGGGGCGGTCCATGCTGCCGCCTTTTATACTGACGCTGTGGATTCCCAGCCAGTGCTGATTAAGGATTAAAAAAGAAATGAAAATGGATGGATTGGATGGATTGAAGGGCATCTTGCTTAAAAACTGTGCCAAACAAATTATGCGAGTGACGTATTGTGGCGACCTCTGGCGGAAATAGCCAACAGCAACAACAACAACAACAATTCCATGAAAGCCTTCACCTGACATCTGATGTGCCAAAAAAGCCAATACTCCTGAATTTGTCACTAGTACGGATTGTGGTTCTTTTTCTAACACGCAATTTGCCATTGCAGACGGCCGGCGTGATGTCCGTGTACCTGTTTATGAAGCGCTACACAGCGGAGGAGATGTACCGGCCCCACCAGGGCTTCTACCGGCCTCGCCTCAGCAATTGCTCCGACTACTCAGGCCAGTTCCTCCATCCGGATGCTTGGGCTAGCCGCGGCCGCAGCCCCTCGTCCATCTCCTCCGAGGCTTCCCTCCAGATGAACTCCTCCAACTACCCCGCCCTCCTCAAGTGTCCCGAGTACGAACAGATGTCCTCCTCGCCCTGCTGAAGGAAACAACCACCAGAGGTTATTACAGCACCGACCTAGTTCTAATAGTTCTGAATAGTCACCCAATGTCATGAGCCCTGTCACCAAGTGTGGAAAAACATGAGTATTTGATACGCCCCAAAGATATTTATAAATTCCCTACCTATATTAAGAATTTAAAATGGAAAGCTATCACTAAACATCACCTTAAAACGTTTTTAACTTATCAAAAGATCAATACCTTTGGAAAATGCTTTACAAATCTGTATTCTTGGTAAGCAAATGAAGATTGATTTCTCATCAGCCTTGATCACATATTGAAATTAGTTCATGTTTCCAAGTGTATGCTTTGTTGTGTTTGTTTTCTCCCTATCCAGAAACTCATACTGACAACAAAGGAAGAACCTGTGACACAGCATCCTGCCTCCCTCATCATGACCACCTCTTCAAAGCTTATTAACAGCTATGTATAGTATCCACATAGCTGCAAAATACAAACACTTAACGACATGACAAATTATTACAATTGTTTGTATACAGTAAATGAGTACTTAGGTGGTGTTGGTGCTACTTCTGGTAGCCGATGCAGTGTCTTGTTCAGAGTCGAGTGAAGCAGCAGAAGTGCGACCCTCTGAGAAGGCACCGGATGTTGATGGGGAGTGTTGCATGTACGGTGGTCGTCGCTGCAAATGGAGGAGCGGAAGGTGGAGAAAGTGGAGCAGTGGGGTGTGTGATACCATAATCTTGCAAAATGTGAATGTAAGAAATCCAAAAAGGAAAAAAAAAAACTGTTGAATGATGACTTTACAGCATCAATTTGACTTAAATTGTAAATATAAAATTTTTGTAATTTCTACCCTTATGATGACACAATATTCCGGCCAGAATATTCCAAAAAGGCCTGTGCCGAGGAAGATATTTGAAACAGTTAAAACGAAAGAAAATCAACATTTCATGCAGCGTTAAGTGAGTAAACATATGTCGGAGAAACATGTTGTCGTGTGCAATAATTTTATTTGAGTTCACACTACTCTTGTTTGATGTTTATATTTACTGTTGTTTAATGTGAACTCATATACACCACTGGTCAACATATTTTTTTTTTTTACAAATTGTTTTAATCAGAGATGCAAGTAAATTTTTCTCGATTATTTTTGTGCCGAATCCGCCCTCATTTTTTTCTCTAGCGCATCAGGGTTTTATAATAAGAATATAACACTCGTATATGTTGTAATATTTCAGATTTTGAAAAAGTAAGGTTCAGAAATGGGTGGATTTTTTTTTCTGAAACGTCACAGCTAAGTCAAACTTAAAATACAAAAAAAGAAGGAAACTATCTTAAAAACCCCAATGTACTAAAAGACAAAAGGTAAAGGCAAATTTAAAATCAGTGTCAAAGTACATTTAAGGACACACAAGGCCATCTCTGATTGAAGATTTGACCAGTGTTATTAATGGTATTGAACATGTGTGCGTCAACTAGTTTTATTCAGTATTTGTCTAACAGGATACATCAACTAAAGAAACACAGAGTATCCCTTTCAAACATCTTTGTATATAGGCCATTGTGATGATTCCAAACGTGTGTATGTAAATACAAACTCATCGATGTATATAGACTCAGTTTTGTATAAAGAAGAGTTTAAATATACATTTTATGGATGTTCTGTTCTTCAATACAATTATCTGTGATATCTGCTGCTTTACCTCTGCGTTGCATTGAGAATGTGAGATTTGGCATCATAATATTGCCATGTAAAGTGTTCCGATGGTTGTCACATTGCAAATGTGAATATTGTGTATTTTTACAATATGATGTTAACTGTGACCCTCTCAGTGAAATAAAGGGATTTGTGAAACAAGTCATGTTGTTCTTCTGTTTGGTTGCTCTACTCACCAAAGATCCAGTTATTCAATAACTAAATGTGATGACACAATGTTATTCTCCCCCTCTTTTTTTGTTGTTGTGGGACTGGATTATCATCAGTGTCCAATCCCCAAAAGAGGGGTTGCACTTTGTTAGGCTTCCACTGCAAGCCCTGTCCAGTTTAGGTGTTCCACGTGAAAGACAAAGCTTCAAATGATGAAGCTCTCACTGCAGACAATAGTTTTCCTAGGACACAAGATGGAGGGGGAGACAAAGAGCTGAGGAGCTTGTTCGGATTTGATTTGAGGGGACAAGTTCTTTTGTGGGTTGCCCATCTTGCCCTTGCGTATAGCCAGCCCACAGTTATACCCAACCACTATGAGCTGTGGGAAATGATAACCACCCATTTTCCGATCCGACAGGGGTCATGGGGGATGCTGGAGTCTATCCCAGCCGTCTTCGGGCAGTAGGCGGGGGACACCCTGAACCAGTTGCCAGCCAATCGCAGGGCACACAGAGACGAACGACCATCCGCGCTCGCACTCACATCTAGGGACAATTTAGAGTATCCAATCAGCCTGCCATGCATGATTTTTGGAATGTGGGAGGAAACTTGAGTGCCCGGAGAAAACTCACGCAGGCCCGGGGAGAACATGCAAACTCCACACAGGACGGCTGGAGCCGGGATCGAACCCACGCTAACCAGTGGACCGCCGGGAAATTATATGAATTTACTTAATTGATCTGAAAATTTACTACAAATACAGTGGTGCCTTGAAATATGACTTTATTTAATTCAAAGACCCTGCTTGCAACTGAAGACACTTACATCTCATATAAGCTTTCCCCACTGAAATGAATGGAAATGCCATCCCAGAAAAATATTTCATACAGGCCACCAGGTGGCAGTATAATACTGTATAGTCATGCAGACTCAAACGAAGGAGAGTGGCCCTCTTCTGTTTCTGCTCTTATAGGTGACTCAGTAAAATGCTGTAATTGATATATTCTAGAAAGGATTATGAATGTGTGAGTATTATTTTGGATTGCCTTTATATTATCTGTCTAAATGTGTTGCTCCGCCATTTGTATTCAAACATGCATTCTTCTAGCATGTCGGCGACGTTTTGCATTGTTTGTTAGCATTGAACTTCGCAGACTTTGCGAACATTTTAAATACACAACATGTCATTCTCTTTGTTTTACGTTTAGTGTGACCGTAAACTTGAACAACCTGAAGCCTTTTTGATGAGTTGTTCAATATTTGCCCAACTGCTGCTTGTCGTGAAGTGAGGTGAAGTGTATTAACTGCCACTATAACAGCGCTGGCATCTCAACACCCACAAGTCAAAGCAAAACATCGTCCCGGTGATTACTTGAAGCTCAAAAACGTGCAATTCGGTTTCCTCAAGCCATCACTGTAATATGACTTCATTCATTTATCTATTCTCTCTTCTGCCAAAAGGCAGAAAGTAAAAGTAACCTGTTGCCATTTACCCAACAGAATAAACAACAGCCTTGCGATCAACTAAACAGGCTCCGATTCTTATCGCATAAGTCATGTAAAAGTGTAAATTAAGTGAGACGACTTTCAACATAACTTTTGTGACATTGCGTCTGGTGGTGCCATTTTTCGAAGTGAGTCTTGGCTCAGTAAAATTTGGAAAACTTTGGTCTAGAATGGAAGCTGTGAGCCATCCATCAGGTGTCTCTCAGGCGCAAGCAGTCATGAATGGCACACGTCCAGCAGGTTGAATGCGACGTCAAGACACCACGAAACAGGTGGAAGCATCTCGTCTACAGCATGAACTGATTGCCCGATGGCCGCCCAACTGAGCAGTTTCAGCTCTTGACGTGATGAACTGGCACATTCCCACAGTGATTGCTCCCATCAAAAGGCTGCAAGCCTCACTGGCGTTATTCAGAAATACACACGGGCTGATTGGCTTTCATGTGAGCTATTTTGTCTGACAATCTTACTGGACTACAGTAGAATAGATGAGAAAAAAACATCTGTGACGTCTTGATGTTGTTTCACTTGGTATGAGTTCTTGTTTAACTTGGTTATTGTTTTCCTCTTGACTCAATCACATCAATTAGCTCACATAAGAAAGTGCAATTAAAAAACAAGTGAGCCATTTGCTTCTATTGATAATCTATATGGCATTTAAAATATAATATATATATGTGACTAACATGTAGTAGGAAAATTTTAAAAGCGAAACAAATGTACTGCATGCGTAGTGCATGCAACTCCTCATTTTCCCCAACAGAGAGAGCTAGGAAGTCAAAAAAGCTGCAATTCACAGGCACAATCAATGCTTACCTAATAAATATTAATGTACTGTTAGGTCAACGCAATATGATGCATATAGCTAAGTCAAACTTAAAATACAAAAAAAAGAAGGAAACTATCTTAAAAAACCCAATGTACTTCAAGACAAATTTAAAATCAGTGTCAAAGTACGTTTAAATTGTCCCTAGGTGTGAGTGTGAGCGTGGGTGGTTGTTTTAGCTCTGTGTGCCCTGCGATTGGCTCAGGGTGTCCCCTGTCTACTGCCCAAAGACAGCTGGGATAGTCTCCAGCAAACCCCCGCGACCCTTGTGAGGATAAAGCGGATCGGAAAATGGATGGATGGATGGAAACACGTCATCAATTCAGTGCGTACTGCTAACTGTTTAGTCCTCATCATATGGAGGGGGGGTGGACACAAACATTGGCAAGCAAGAAGATAACTCTTCAGAATCAATATTGGCCAAGTAATGTTTACAAACACACAAAGAAGTTGTCCCAGGTGGTTACAGTCGTTCTCGAACTACAGTAAACATGCCACTTTGACAAAATATACATTGAGGAGTCCTGAATCAGGACATAAACACATGGGTTCAGATTGCAGGACAGTCAGTGAGCAATGCTGATCAAAAGATAATTGTGCAAATAACACACAGAGTCCTCGAGGAGATGAATATGTCTGGTTGTGTGAAATACTGGTTAACAATAGTTATGCAAAAACGTTATTTCGTGCAAGCTAGAGTGCTATTAATAACAATAATTTTGAGCACCGCAGCCTACGAGTCCACACAGTCATTTTCCAAATTAAAATATCATTCAGTTAGAAACCCTCCCATTATTTTGTAAATAATCCTAGATAAATAAAGAGAATAAAAAGGAGTAGGTGGCCCAAAGGTAACATGTTTTCTCTTCCTTATATGTCTGAATGAAAACCAAGGCCAGACAAGCAAGAGCTCATTTCCTCATCGGGGTGTTCCTAACAAGCACCAGGGCAACACTTTCTTGTTTGAACTCATTATCAGTGCAAATTGTACTCTGCGGAGTTTGCTGCTTTATTTTGTCCGGTCTAATGGAGCTACCTTGTGTGTTATATTTAAGAAAACAACCCCACAGCGTTATATGAGGAATTAATGATGCAGAGCAAGAAAACACACAGTACAAATCTGAGTGGACTTGACAAAAAAAAAAAACCTTCCCTAAAAGATATCGCTCAACAAGCCACAAGATCAATAAAAGGCATGGAAATGGCTCGATCGGTCTTTTAAATGAAACTATGAGGCGTTGCCAATTCAATGATCCTAAAAATCATCTGTGCTACAGTATACATGAGTAACATGATTGTTTTACATGCTTTTAAGTGTTCCAAACCACCTCAGGCCCTTCTCACTTGCTGCCACTGACCCCCTCGAAATATTTGACAGGAGGGAAGATGACTGCGGTCCTGGACACACCAGCAACACATTGGCTGGATTTATTCATTTATTTTGCCTGAAACATGTACTTATTAGATCTGTCAATCGTAAACACACTTGAACAGTTCGCAAAAAATCTTTAATTTGCCTTCCAAGCAGCATCTTGTGCAATCAGCAGTGAATGCTCTGAGAAAAACGAGGCAATCTTTGGCCTTTATTGTGAACTCATAGCCGTCTTCTGGAGGGCATGTTGTATTAGAACCCAAGAAGTCGTAGTACAGTACTAATACTAGCATCAGTAGTAAATTTTTATCAAAGCACAATGATAATGATGGGTACATTCAATTAATTTCTGGTCACCTATATAATAACAATGGAGGCCAGTTGTAGTATAGTCCAGAGGTGTCAAACTCATTTCACATTTTGGGCCGCATACAACCTCGGTAGATGTCAAGTGGGCCTGACCATTAAAATTATACTATATTCTGCTATAAATAACCAAAATATCATGTCTTTCTTTTGTTTTTG